GGGGGCGCCTGCGTGTCAGTATCTGCTGTCAAAGTTGGGTGTTCGAAACCTCCATGCACCAACTTGATGGGGAGTGTTAACCGATGGTTATATCGGTTTATGGTTATATCGGTATGTCAGGTTACATTGGTTTATGGGTACATTGGTATGTCTGGTTATATCGGTTTATGGTTACATCGAGACTTGGGGAGTAAGTTACATCGGACATATTGTGATATTAATGAGTAGATATCGATAAGGGAAAATTCAGTGTTGTGATCTTATTGTAACAAGTATATATGTAGTTTCCACATCGTGAATACAACTCATAATATTCTCAACTTCTTCTTCCTTAGTTTACAATTTACACCTTCCTTAGCATGTTTTGTCAAGGTAATATGGTAACGTGTTAAAACGTAGTAGATGATAAAAACTATAGGAGACAGATGTGTAACTTACCAACATATGTCCAGATTTAGTTGCTTTGAGATTGTGCAGTTTCGTCATAACACCCATCAAAGCACACGAACACACCTTCAGCAGTGTCGTTACAAAAAGTCATCTGAACTTGGTAGCCTAAGAAAAATAAGTGTAGATCAAAGATAAATAATGGAGACGTGGATGTAGAGATACAGAGAAAAATATTATACTACACTAAAATGTTAGATACCAGAGAGATCCAACAGCATGAGTATTTTCACATGACTCACATCACGCACATAGGAAGGAGGAGAAAGTGCGCTGTAGCTATTTGGTATATAAGAAGTTAATATCCTAGGTAATAGATATGGAGATGATAGTTAGGTTCACACAAGCTAAATCATAAAATAACACCGCCAGTGATTTTACCTGAGATGGAGCAGTGATGACAAAGTTATTGAGTTCCGCTATAGTCAGAGGATCAACCTTTGCATATCCCCTAAGCAGAGGTGCAGCCGTTGGGACACCGGTGTCTCTGGCGACCAAAATTTATTTATTAAAAAAGCGATCTCAGTTTAAGCTTATGAATGAATATATAGGTACGACGACCAATTAGCTTACCCTGTAAAAACAGGTTCCCCCTGCATTTGTCTTTTTGTTGAAATAAATATGTGTTCCTCAGGTTGCAGTAAGGAATAAACGACCTACACAAAGACAGTTTCACCAGTGTATTGAAGAGTTGTAGCTATACGATAATATAAGATTAAATAGTATTCACTAGTCTGGACCATTTAAATACCTCCAACCATTTTTTGGGCAACAATCACTTTTGGATCAACACGCATGGTCTCAAATACCCACCACACCAGACATTTCTAGCCTCCCAGAAACGGAGCAATCTAGCGCCAACAGCGGAGGAGAACTTCTGGACTTCAGATTGGAAAAGAAAACTTTTGACTTAGCCATTTTAAAATAGAGAAACATGAAAAGATAGATATGAGATGGTTTTCGTAGAACCATAGGCACACCGCCTTGAATAGATAACGACAGATTGATGCAGAAATCGTGGGTGAATAGTTAAGAAGATGATTCGAGAGATTCGGATGAACAGAAAGCGAAAGGATGACATGGGGGTTTGTGGGCGATTTGAATGGTCAAGCGAAGTTAACACACAGATGTCGAAGGCGGCTGAGAACAAAGGAGGTGACGAAGCCTAAACGTTTATATTTTACTGGGTTGAGAGAAGGACTCTCTACTGAACTGGACAATTAAGCAAACATAAGGCTCAAACAATAAGTAAAGCCCATATCAATACGCTTATGAAACGCAGCGTATGATGTCTCTCGACATGTGTCATCTTCAGGCTTAATGAATAAATGACGTGGCTTCCCTAAAAAGAGGGAAGTATACATTATATAATTAGATATAGATTAGTTTGTTAAAACCTAAAAAAATATTATATAAAATATTGAAAATATTTACAAAGGATTGAAAACAAAAATTAAATTTGTTGGTTACAGTTTTAATATTTACAATAAATAAAATATATTGTTAATAAATTTTAACTGATGTTGCATGTTTAAACTACCTATTATAGTTTATGGACTTGTATAAATAAAAAATAGATTCATAATAAAAGCTAATACCTTTTGAAAATAAATCAAAAATATTTTTATAACAGTTATGGTTTCTAAAGTTTTTGATATAAATTAAGCTTTTAATTTTTGAAGTAACTGTTACATTTCTTAAAACCAAAATTTCGACACCACATTTTAAATTTAAAACATAAATTGAGGACCATTACCAATAACACCTTTGATATTGTTAAATTTACGGTTAGTCATCTTTTATATTATCCTCATTTGTGGTAGAGCCAATCTTTCATGGGCTTCTCAAATCTTCTATAAGCTTTGTGATTGCAAATTTACGCTTTATAAATTTCATTTCATTCTCCAATTTATTTTATAAATTTTAGGGTTGCACGTAATAGTTGATATCACAATTTTCAATGCTGTCAAGTAATGTGAAAGTCTTGTTACTTTAACTTTATTATGTAAATTTAGAGTTTTGTTTTCTATTTTTATCATAACATATTATGAATGATTTTTAATATTTGTTTTGACATTATCTTTTTTTTTTTGTGCAAACTTTGCTTTTCATTCAAATTTAAAAGAGGTTTTGGGCCATTAAGGCCTGCTTAGCAGCAATATCAGCCCTTACATTTCCCAGACGTGGGATGAAATTAAAAGATACCGACTTAAATGCAGTAGATAGAGAGTAAATGTCGTTAAGAGTACCAAAGATCTCAAGTCTTCTCTCCTTCTTCTTTATCGTGTTGATGAGGATTTGAGAATCAGAGAGGATTGCTATCGAATCGAGACCAAAGGAGAGGGCAGAGTTCATAGATGTTCTCATAGCTAAAGTTTCCACCATAAGGGGCAAGGATACGTGAGTAGAGCTCGCTTGGAAGGGGGATGTCGAGGCTAGATCATCAATGATCCAACCAAATCCTGCATTACCGGTTGAGGGATCCCACGCTGCGTCGGTGAAGACGGTGGTTTGCCCCGGTCGTCTAGGGTTTGGTTCGGTTCTGATTAACAGCTTCTCAGGGGGAGGACTTTGGAGGATCTGCGCCTCCGTCCATTATCTACACAAATTAAAATTAAAATGAAAGGATTTTGAAACTTTTGTTGTATTTATTCAAATATTAATAATGATATTTTGAAAACTTTCTGTCTTTTCTAGGGTAAGCTAAGACTTCTCTCTTGCAAAACCTTCCAGGATAATTTTAAGAAAAAAAAAAAGAAAGAAACCTTCAGCCAACACATGCAATAAGATTTCAGTTAAACATATATTCTGTGAGCTATAGATTTGGTAAGAAAGGACCGGGTAAAAAGAGGCAGAAACTCAGACCTGGTACAAAGAAAGGATCAGACCTGGTACAAAGAGGCTAAAAAGAGTTTTCTATAGACTGACCTGATTAATAAATGCTCCATCTGATGCAGAGGCTAATATCCCTGAGGAAAAAAAGAGACATTTATGAGAAAGCCAGTTAAGTGATTCTTGCCAAGAAACATGAAAAGAGCATTATATGAATATTGTTCCTTGGAATTAACCTAATCACAATTTCAAAGTACAAGAGCCCTAGATCTTTTGGAGAAGACGAATGCGATGTTGATACCTATTAGTTTTGGTTTATCAGCGTAAATTTCATATTACGAATCCTACATTCCAATTGGAGCTAAAGCCCGCAAACAATAGTAGCCCACATCAATTGTAAAATTCAGTTAATGAAACCTAGTGTATTGTAGGCCTGAATGTTTTTCTCCAAACCCGAAATACCTACCTAAAGCCAAACTGGAAAATCCGAAACCGAATCCGAACCCTTATACAGAAATATCCGAACCGGATTTATTGTACTTTGGAGTTTGGTTATAATCCTAAGCGAACCGAAATCCAAACTATGATCCAAAGATATACCAAATTAGCTAAATATGTTAATATTTTTATATATGTTAAGGTGATTTAGATATTTTAGAGTATTCAAAATATTTTGTAGTTGATTTTATATGTTATTTTGATATTTTTAGTTAATTGAGATAGTTTAACTAATTTTTAATTAGATTTGTAAATAACTTATATATTTTGAAAAATAAATTTGCCAATTTTTGAGGTTTAAGAAATAAAATTTTGGTCGATTTTAAACATTGGTTACATCCGATTCAAACCGAACCCGGAAGGAACCGAACCTGATCTGATAATTAGTAAAACCCGAATGAGGCTTCTGAACTTAACACCAAAAATCCAAAGATCCGAATCACCCGGACTGATACCGAACGGGACACCGAACACCCATACCTAGTGTATTGTAAGAAGAGACATGTGTCGCAAATATGAAATCTGAATTAATGATGTGGCTTTTCTTAGAGGAAGAAAAATCTTCTTTATCATATTAGATTTTTGACGTGAATATTAATTTTTCAGTATTTGGTAATAAAAATTTATGCTATTATTATTCAATTATTTTATTTTTATTGGTTTCAAACTGATGGGTTCACAAAAATATTATAAATAAAAATATATATATTTGTAGAATCTACATAGTTTTAAAATATGAACTTCTTAAATCGTTAAACTTTACAAATTATTTGTGTATTGGAAGTTACGTGACGAGTGATTTTTTTTTATTTTTCTGATATACTATTGGATTGTTATCTTCTTCTTTTTTTAATAAATCTATCTTATTTTGTTTTAAAAATCTGATTTCTCAAATATTCCGCAATCAGTCTCCCATTTATTTCGCATACAATCAGAAGTTTACAAAAATTTAAGAACGTAGATAGAAAAGAAAACTCTAGATACCTCTACATTTTCTCCACTCAGAAATTTGAGAACCAACACAAAAAGAAAAAAAAAAATAGAGCAACAAAAAAAGATCATATACTCATTTCTTGGCGTGTTCAACCTCTTTCCAAAGCGTAACTACACCTAAAAACCTTTTATCTTAAGCATGAGTTTCACCAATACCACACACAAACTTAAAAAAAAAAAGTATTTATATAAAATTGTCCCTATGAATTTCCAGCATCTTGAACTGAGAAAACGGACTTGACAGATATGTATCTTAGTCGGAGAATGCAGAGCGGTAGTTACGCGGTGTATAGGCAGGGACTTGCGGAGGTTATACAAACATATAACAAAGTTGAGAGGAAGACATGTATGAATCCATGTCGGACGATTACTCTATTTGGAAGAGAATGTAGTAATCAAATGAGTCCACTAAGTCTGAAGTTATCAAATCCGGTTAATGCTGGGAAGTACTCTAAGATGCAATCTTCTCCGTCAAACCCATGGTTTAATCTTCCCTCTTGGTACTCAACTCTTTCTCTTGACCTGTTTCTATACGAAAGATTAATACAAACACACAAAACAGAAATTTGCATTTCAATAGGAGCTTTTCTTTGGACTTATTTGGATTGCAATAGCAGGGGAAGATGGCTTATAGGTTCTGCGATTCCCGTGGTGTTATCTTTCTGGAACAATAATAGGATGCAGAAACTGAAACGGATCAAAGGTCTGTGAATTACATAATCGCATAGCTCTTTTATTGGCTTATTTAGTTTACTCATAGCTTATTGATAAAAGATAATTTCAGGCATCAGAATATTCTTTTTTTTTTTTGAATGATTGTTAAATTTTTAATTCATCTAAAAGGCTCTTGACATCATATGCATCCTTTTTTCGAAATAAAATCCACCACTACTACTGTTTTAAAAACTCAAATGACATCATATTCTTGTAGAAAACCAAAACTGCAAAACACCCTCCATACCTTTTGCTCCATTCCTTGTCACAAGATTTACCTTATTTCTAACTCCCTTATCAATCATCTTCTTCAAACCAGCCAAAGACATCAACTTGTCACCATGCTTTATCGTATTACGCTCACGCCACAAAGCATAAATCGCTGCTTGGAAGAAATAACAAATGCAGAAGAGTCTTATTTTGTCCATACTCACATCTGATACCATTCCAAATATAGAGTTCCAGTTAGTAGTAAAAGAATCCCCCATAATTCTTTTAGCAAGATATTCCCAAACTTGCAAAGTATATGAACACTCAAAATAGAGATGATATCTAGATTCTTCTGCATTCTTGCAGAGCAAGCACGTCTTATCCATACCATGATTCCACTTAGCAACTCTATCCATAGTAGATAACCTATCTAGAGAGGTAAGCCAGGTTATGAAAGCATATTTAGGAGTTACCTGAGAGAACCAAACACTTCTACTCCAGTCATGAACGTCTTTCTTTCTCTTATTAGCTTCCAAGTCTCATAAGCAGAAAACTTGCTCTTATACCCAGATTCTCTTTTCCACAGACTTACATCAACATCCAAGGACTTATGGTTCTCTCTAACATGGCTTAACTCTAACTCAATCTCATTCAAAATCTGAGAACGATGCTTCCTCCTACCTCTTCGATATATAATTGCATCTACTACCGAAGCCCCCTTCTTATACCAAGGTCAATACTGCATCTGCCACCCAAGTAATCCAGGAGAATTCCTTTCTCACATCATTTATCGTACCAGAATGAAGTGTGTCTCCCATTCCCCACTTCCTTTCTATAGAAACTCTTGGCAATCGCTCTCATTTTCAAAAAATTTTGCCACATCCAGAAACCAGACTGCATATTACTTTTCACTTCCCAAAAATACTTTTTCTTCAACATATAAGTTTTAATCCAATTTCCCCAAAGAGAATAACTAGACAACATCCTCCAAATAAGCTTCAAGACATAAACTCTATTGACATCTTTGAGAACCCTTATTCCAAGTCCCCCTTCACTTTTCTCAGAGCATATATCTTTCCAAGCAACCTTAGCACCTCCAGTTTTAAGGTCTGACCCTGACTAAAGAAAAGTAGAGCAAAGTTGTTCCACTTCTTTGATACAACTGCTTGGTAGTCTAAAGACAGCCGCCCAAAAGTTCACAAAACTTATTAAAACCGCCTGAATCAACCACAATCTGCCAGCATAAGATAGATACCGACAAGACCAAGTACAAATCTTACTTCTCATGTTCTCCAATAACGGTTGATAGTCTTGTTTCCTCATGGACTGAGTCATTAAGGGAAGACCAAGATATTTAACTGGAAGTTTTCCTTCTGCAAAAGGAAAATTACTCAAGATCCTCCTCCTCTCATTCATTGGAACTCCCCCCCCCCATATAAATTGTGGACTTCTCAAGACTAATTCTTAAGCCTGACCATAGTGAAAACTTATCAAACACAGCAAGCACACCCTCCACTGATTCTTTCGACCCCTCAACAAAGACCATAAGTTCATCAGCGAAACAAAGGTGGGTAAGTGAAAGTAACTTACATCGAGGATGAAACTTAAACTTCTGTTCTTTGACTGCTCTATCAATTTTTCGAGATAATACATCCATACATAAGACAAACAGATATGGGGAAAGCGAGCAATCCTGCCTCAAGCCTCTTGCATTCTGAAAATATCCAGCAAGCTCCCCATTGAGTTGCACTAAAAAGGATGGACTTGTAATACAAAGCTCAATCTAGTGAGTGAATTTCTCCGGGAACCGTAATGCCTTCAAAATCTTCAGAACAAATGACCATTTAACAGAGTCAAATGCCTTAGAGATATCTATTTTCATTAAACATCTTGGAGATATCATCTATTTGTGGTAATCTTTAACCAATTCTGAAGCAAGTAGTACATTCTCCAATAACAGTCTTCCCTTAACAAAAGCCGATTGATTCTCTGCAAACATTCTCGGAAGCAACAACTTCAGACGATTAGCCATGATTTTAGACAAAACTTTATAAAGAGCATTGCAGCAGGCAATCGGTATGTAATCCCTCATTTCCATAGAATCCAACTTCTTTGGCACCAAAGCTAAGATCGTGGAGTTAATCCCTTTATGGAGAAAACCATACCTGAACACCGACTGAATTGCTACTGTAAAATCAGAAGCAATAACTGACCAAGTGATTTTAAAGAATTCACTGGAGTAACCATTTGGACCAGGAGACTTATTAGCAGGCATAGCAAAAATTACCTTATGGATTTCATCCTCAGTGACCTCAGCCTCTAACATACAAAAATCCCTGGGTCCACATCGAAAGTCCAGCAACCCTTGCAGTTCCTCAACTGAAGTCCCTTGATACTCTTGAGGATGAAGATTCATAAACTCAAAAAAAATCTCTCTGCTTCAGTCTTTATATCAGCCAGAGTAATTGCAATACTACCATCTTGACATCGAATTTCTCTAATAGTATTTTGAGCTTGACGAGAACGAATAGCATTGTGAAAGGTTTTGTTGTTTTGGTCTCCTACATCCAACCAGTGCAACTTAGCCTTCTGCTTAAGATAGTCCTCTTCAAGCTCCGCAGCCTTCAACCACTTTTCATATGCTTCAGCTTCCTCCTGGATGGAGGTGTTACTTTGGTTTAAAAGTGTTCTCCCCTGTTTATCACATCAAATCTCATACGACTCCTTAGCTCTTTTTGACAAATTTCCAAGCTTACTTTGACCTAATTCTCTGATGAGAGGCTTCAGATTTTTTTAATTTTTTCGAGAACCTGAACATAGCAGATGTGGAATGAAAAAATCTCTCAGTTGTGTCCCAATACTTCTTTACCATAGGAAGGAACTCGGGAAATCTTCCTATCTCATTCACAAATTTGAACGGCCTTCTAATTTTCTCACAACCTTGCCACAACTGGATCTTGCATTTTATATGATCTGAACAACCTCCCGACTCAAACACTGAATAAGCATTGGCAAACCTATGCAAAGCCATGTCATTAACCAGCCCTCAATCAAGTTTTTTACAGATTACACATTCCTCCCTCTTGTTGCACCAAGTATATAACGGGCCCTGGTAACTTAGATCAGAGAGACGACAGTGAAGAACTGCTCTCTGGAAATCCCTTATACCACACGAAACCCTTCCCAACTCTTCAAACACTGAGCTCTCTTCACCCTCTAAAATTTCATTAAAATCACCCATAATTATCCATGCCTTTTTATTGAAACAAGGAGAATTATGATGATGGCAGATGTCTTCCCAAAGCTCCTTCCTTTCATCTAAATGGTTACTCGCAAACAAAAACGTAGAATAATACTCTTAAACAAAAACGTAGAATAATACTCTTCCTCTCCTTGAACTCCCATTGAACACGTTATCAACTTGTTGGATTTGTACACAGGAGCCATGGTAATAGAATCCCTCCAGACCACCCAAATCCTACCACCTTGACTGCACTCATAATTAATCATCAATGACCAATCTTTAAAAGCTGATTTCCAAATTCTTTCTACCTTTTTTTTTTTCTTTCACCCTTGTTTCCAAAACACAACCAAACTTCATTTCCTTGTTACTCGTCCACTCCTTCATCACAGAATGTTTTAAAGACTTGTTAAATCCTCTCACGTTTCAGAAGAAACTCGACATATTATTGCTTTCTTTTCGAAGACCTTCTGCCCCTAGGAGCTTTAGCCTTCTGAATTTTTTCCATGCCCTTTTTTACCACAACTTTATCCTTCTCTGCAATCTGATTCTCTAACACATCATCTTCTGACATGTTATCATCCAAATCCCTATCATGATTACCTTCATCCAGTAACTTCCCAATTTCTACTTCTAAATCCTCCTTATCTTTATCATTACTTTCCTTCAATTCTAGCTCCACTTCCTCCTCATCAACCTCATCCACCTTTAGTATAGAGAATTTTGAGGCAGATATCTCATACTCCAGATCTTCTCTTAGTGGGGACTGCGATTGAGATCTACCAATCTTAACTGGTAGTTTCCAATTGCTTTCATTTTCATTCCATGAGCCCTCTTCCTTCCTCAGACTTCCATTAACCTCCGTTACAACTCCTAAATTCTGTTGTTTCTCAGTACTCTCTACCTCGTTCAACTTTACTTCCTCCCCTCTTATAGTTTTAGGAGATCGAGATGAACTATCACTCCTTTTTTCCTTTCCCTTCATCCCGCAGACGACTTCAGTATGATCCCACTTATCACAATAGTTTCATTTATAGGGCAACCATGGATAATGAAACCTTACCGTAAACACCTTCCCATCCTTTCCAAACTCAATCTCTTTTGGCAGAATTTTTGATACATCTACATTCACAAAAACCTTAACAACCTCCAGATTATAGCATGCCATTGTTTCTGGATGGAGCTTATCAGGAAATCCCACCGTACTAGTTATAAAGGCTCTCCCATGAGTACATATGCAGAGGAACTTGCATAAGATGAATCCACAATGGAATCACATTCTCCTCTTGTTTTTTTGACATCACAATATTTGATAATAATATTTGGTTATAAGAAAACATTGTTCATAGATATTTTGTAACAAGATGGCGTGCAAAATGCATACATGTCATGTATAAAAATATTATGTTCCTTCTAAAACATAGTACAAATTTGAATGATGTGATGCAGGGGAGGCGGAATTGGTGGTGGAGGGGATGGAGGCTGTAGCAGAAATGGTAGAAAAAGTGGCAACGGCAACTGAAGACATGGCTGAAGTAATGGAAAAGAATCTGCCTGAGCAAAGTAAACTTAAGCAAGTGGCTGTGGTTCTGGAACATATTTCAGAGGTTGCTGCACACGAAGCACATCTTACCCACGATTTTCTTCACAAGGTACATACTGTATCAATGGAATCAATATTTGAAATGTTTACTGAAATTTAACATTTTAACACTTCGAAGGTAAACTCCAAAAGAGAATATTTTCAGTATAAGATAATCTTCAAGTTCTGAATCTTCTAATGTAACTTATGCATTTTACCTTTGAGGGCAACAAACTAATAAACAAATATAAGGTTTATACTGTCGTTGGAAATAAACATACAAAAACTTCAGGTAGAAAAAGTCGCACAAGATTTGGATGAGCTGGAGGCAATGATAGAGCATTTGGTGGACAAAAGTGAGGCAAATGCTGAAACTAAGCAACAAAAAGGTGACGAAGAAAACTCTGAGCCTTCACGCCACTAATTTGTTCATCTTCTAATGTAGACGCCAAAAATATATATATTAAAAACTCTCTCTATATTTTTTTCCGTTTATTCTTTCCAATAACTTGTGTACAATATTTTTTGATGATATATATTATCGAAGGTATAACGTTCTTGACTGGTTTTGGTTAGTAATGTCTAACCGTAAATCTCTTATATATTAAACTGAAAATATTTTAAGTTGTGACTTTAATTTCTATGTTGAGGTGTCATCACTTTAATTTTTTGCACAGTTCAAAATTATTTATTCTTAACTTACTAGAAAAGTTACAAAAATACCATTGCATTGCATTGTTTATGTCGACCAACCTATGAAATATATACGGGTTATTACCTTAAATGATTAACAACATTTAGTGCAATGATACTGCGACACTAATACATGGAAAGTTTTTTCCTTTGAAATCACCATTCAGTGTAACAAAGAACAATTATTGTCCTCCTTTGTTCTTCCATCTGTCTCTGTTGACAACATAAAATTTTGGTCTTGACATTGACATTGACATCGGTTGTAAATTCATTATGTTGTACAATTCATTATGTTGTACATGCAATACAAAGCCAGTAACTCAATCGATTAGATACTGTTGTCCAAGAGATTGATTTTTGTAATCTCTTATATATTAGAACAAAAAGAAAAACAGAGCATTAGTAACATAAACACATCAACCCCACCTAATCAAAAACATATTCATCTTATTGGGAAAACTAAAATTGCGTTTCACATGCTTTAATTGATATATTATCTCCGTTAATTTTGTTGCCAAACACGTCTATTCTTAAAGGACACAATACACACAACCAGAATTCTCTGGACATAACAATAAATGGGCATCAGATCAACTGTGGCATCAAACAAAGCATTAGTCGCATTGAATACAAGTATAAGTTCTTTCAACTAGGCCATAATATCGTGAGCCAGCCGTAATCCTGCGATCAAGGCTTTGTATTTGGCTTCATTGTTCGAGGCGTGGAAGACTAATCGAAACGATTGTTCCAGCACTTCTTCTGTAAGGGCCGCCAGTCGGATGCCGATTCCGGAACCTTGTTGGGATGAGGATCCGTCAACGTATAGGGTCCAGGTCGAGTTTAGCTCCTAGTCGGGTGTGCCTCATGTTGGGAGCTCTACTAAGAAGTCTGCAAGTACTTGCGATTTTGCACAGGTCTTTGCACGGTATTCGATGTCGTACTGGCTGGGGATGTGCAAAATCGCGCGGAGAGGGAAAGAAGTGGGTACGACAATGGTGTGAGATTGGAAATACGGCCTTAGTTTTCTTGTCGACATTACCACTGCTCATGCCAATTTTTCCATCATCGGGTATCGTGTTTCCGTGTCTAGCAAAGTTTTACTTACGTAAAAAATTGGGTTTTGCTCGCCGCATTCTTCCCGGAGGAGGATGCCGCTTATGGTCGTTATTGACACTGCGATGTAGAGGAATAAATGTTCCTCTTCTACTGGTTTCGCGAGTATTGGCGGAGTAGCTAGGTAATGCTTTAGCTATTGGAAAGCTTTCTCGCATTCCTCGGACCACTCGAACTTCTTGTTTCCCTTCAAAGTATCGTAGAAAGGAAGACATCTATCTGTTGATCGCGAGATGAAGCGGTTAAGTGCCGCGACTCTACTGATCAGTCTTTGTACTTCGCGCTTCATCCTGGGGGACACCATTTTTATTAGTGCTGTGATTTGTTTCGGGTTGGCCTCAATTACTCGGTAGGTAACAAGGTATCCCAAGAATTCTCCGGATGCGACAACAAACCGGCACTTGGCGGGATTTAGCTTCATGTTGTGAAAATTGAGCCTCTCGAAACATTCTTGGAGGTGTGTGACATGATCTTGCTCTTTGAGCGATTTCACGAGCATATCGTCGATGTACACTTCCATCGTTTTTCCGAGTTGTTTGGAGAGCATGAAATTGACGAGTCGTTGATAAGTAGCGTCGGCATTCTTAAGGCTCAACGACATTACTTTATAACAGTAAGTTCCGCGATCAGCTATGAATGCGGTTTTCTCTCGATCGTTAGGGTTCATCATGATCTGATTGTACCCGGAAAGAGCGTCAATAAAAGATAAGAGTTTGTTTCCTGCTGTTGCCTTAACTAAGCGGTCGATGTGCAGCAGTGGGTAGCTATATTTAGGACACACTTTAATAAGATCAGTGAAATCGACGCAGACTGGCCACTTCCTGTTGTTTTTCTTGACAACGACAGGATTTGCGAGCCAGTCGGGATATCTAACTTCCGTTATGGATCCGACTTAGAGGAGTCTGTCGACCTCATTGTTGACTGCTTCGGCGAGTTCTGGTCCCAGCTTCCGCGACGGATTTGGACGAGGGGTCAACATTGAGTTCGTGGCAAGTGATGTTTATGTCGATTCCATGCATGTCTTCTGCCGTCCATGCAAACGTGTTCGAGTTTCTTTTCAGATAAGCCAAGTGCTCGTCTTTTAAAGTCTCGTTTAGGTTCACACCAATTTCGACGCAGTGTTCTGGGAACGCTTCATCAATGCATACCGAGACGATGGGTTCGCAAGTAGGTTAGCGCTTCCCTTTCAGCACTTCGGCTGCTCGCGACTGCCAAAAGATTTTGGTTTTATTTTGTTCTGGAGCGTTGTCGAGGACAGACGGTTTATTTTTATTTTTGGACGGAGTGTCAGCCGAAGGAATTTTTTGTTTTAAATCTGCGGCATAGCAGACCTGAGATATTTTCCGATTTCCCCAGATGGTCTCGATTCCGCACAAGGTTGGGAACTTGAGACACATATGGTACGTTGATGGTATCGCTTGCATCGAGTTTAAAAATTGTGTCCCTACGATTGCATTGTAGGACGTGGGTTGGTCGACGACTAAGAATTTGAAAATTTTGATCATGCTTCCATCTTGAACCGTAAGATTAACTGTTCTGAGAGTCATGGTGATTTCTCCCGAGAGTCCTACTAGCGGGCTTGAGTTTTCCGTGATTTCGGATGGATCGATTTCCATTCTCTCGAGGGTGTTTTTGAAGATGATATCAGATGAGGTTCCGGTGTCAACTAATATCCTTGCGACATCCGTATTCTTGATTGTCCGATCGATGACAAGGAGGTCGTTAAGAGGTTTGATCGAGTCGATCATTTCTCTGTCCTTGAATGAGATGACATCGCCATTCAAGTTAGACATATCATTTTTCGTTCGTTCAGTGGTTATTGTGTAAGAGAATCCAAACCCCCCTCCTTCTAGCGCCAAACTATCGGAACCGAAATTCACACTATAGAAACTTAGGAAAAACCCTAATTTTCCCGAGGTTCTGGATCTCTACGGAAACACACTAAAACAAAAAAGATAACAGAATATGGAATTGCGCAAAGGCTAGTATTGATAACGAGTTTGAAAGATGTTACAAAGAGAATCGCAAAACTTAGACAACCAAACGTTCTAAGAATCCGACTTGGTAGTCTAGCCACCTAAGTCATAAATTCGTCTAAGCTAACATCAGTTTTTCTAGGTCTACAAAGCTCTGCCTCCTCTTGACTTCGAACTCACGCTTATATACTCATTCTCTAGGCGGTTGGTCTTTCCTTTTTCGCTCCGATTCGCGCTTATCGGAAATCTTCCATTTATCTCGATTTTTCCATTTTTCTTCGGAAAACTTCTATTTTCGTCTTTAAAATTGACATTTACCTATTCATCCGAGTAATGAGTAAACCGTTATCATATCTTTGGGCTGCATCTTGTCTAGAGTCGTGAATGGGCCTTTATCGCGTTTTAGGACTTTCTGAGCCGTTTTGCGATTTAGCCGTTTTACGATTCTGATGTGATCGTTCCATGATACGATGGCGTTTTCATAAAACATCTCAAGTTAATCGTCTAATTTGGCAATGTCTAGTGTTTCTTTTAACCGTTATTTTTTTATAAGATTTACTCGGGGTTTTACGAGAAAACAAGTATTTAGCGGTTTTTTTAAATAAAACATCTCGAGTTAATCATATAATTTGGAAATGTCTAGTGTTTTGTTTAACTGTTGCCGTTTTATATGATTTACTCGAGGTTTTACGAGAAAACAAGCCTTTTACGATTTTTATCCTAAAACTCCAATGATAAGATGGATCGAGACGAAACGAAAGATGTGTAGATCATGGTTCAGAGTACGATCGAGGCGAGGAGCACGGGCATTTGGCTCAGCTCGCTTGTTGGCGAGCTGGACAGGTCTGTTCAGCTCGCCAACAGGCGAGTTGGTCAAGCAAGGCCAGTTCACCTGTTGGTGAGCTGGACAGGGCTGTTCAGCTCGCGAATAGGCGAGCTGGTCGGGCAGGGCCAGCTCGTCTGTTCAGCTCGCCAACAAGTGAGCTGTCGGGCAGGCCAGTTCACCTGTTGGCAAGCTGGACGGTTGTTCGGTTTAGATCGTTTCTCTTTTTTCTTGACCCGAGATCCTTTCGGAGAATGTAAGGAGAAGTAATCGTAGACGTTGATTTCGAGATTACCGTTTTTGACCCCAACACCTCATGACAACTTCTCCAGTCTAAACTACATGAGTCTCAAGCTTCCTTATCTGAGTACCCAAAGTATCAATCTTGGTGTTCATATCTTTGTAGATGGAATCAATCTTCCCATTGAAATCCACTGTTAACCTTTGCTATCCTTCAAGAACCTGATCAAGCATGGCTTCAATCTTGCTCTCTTGAGTCTGTTATGGTGGATTATGGTAGAATGAATTTCCATAACCCTTGTTGTTGTTGTTGCTGTAGCTGGTGCTGTAGGGTTTTTGATATTGTGAATTCTGCTTGAAGTTACTCATCTGACCATTACCACTGAAGTTCATGTTTCCAAACTCATTTCCAGACCTCTGAAATCCAGTTCCTCCAATGTAATTCTCATCTGCTTCTAACTCTGAATCTATATCCTCTGCATCTTCACGTGAGCAAACATGTCTCATAAGTATCTGATTGACACTATCCAACTTAGCTTTTACTTCATCCATATGTTGCTTCCCAAGGAATGCTACATATTTACTCCTTTCAGAATCAGTGTCTTGGTGGTGCTGCTGTTTGCTACATTCTCAATAAGTCTCACAGCTTCTTCTAGATTCCTGGTGTTGAAACTCCCATCGCTTGTTGTATCAAGAGCCATCTGATAC